CTGTGCACCGCCCCCGTGCAATTCCAGCCAGCCTCCACTGCCAGCCTCCACCTGTGCACCGCCCCCGTGCAACGCCAGCCAGCCTGCACCTGTGCACCGCCCCCGTGCAACGCCAGCCAGCCTCCAACTGTGCACTGCCCCCGTGCACTTCTACACAGCCTCTATTCATGCATTGCCCGTCCACGGCCCCCGTGCCATGCCAGCTTCTGTCCATGCACTCCCCCGTCACTGACCATACAACACACGAGGTGCCCGTGCATCACCTCCCCCAGGAAATAGCAGCACCCCAGAGGAGACTGCACTAGACATAGTCAGACTCACCTGAATGGCCACAAGCCCCGGCAGCTTTGCAAAGCAGGAAGTGTTAGCGCAGTTCCCAGGACAAGCAGCAGGGGCTGCACATCTCCTACTGCAGGGAGCCCTGGGCAGGGAGCCCTTGCATGTGGCTCTACCCTCTGCTTGCACTGGCCCTCCCCAGTCCTCAGGCCAGCCCTGGGCAGAGTGGGGCCCCGCAGTTGAGCGGAGTTAGTCGATTGCAGGAGAGGAGGGCATCTGTTTGCAACTCCCCCACCCCAGCTCTGGTCAGAGCAGCTCCAGTTAGTTCTATGTTCAGCCCCTGGCCTGGCTGCACCTGGATTTTCATCCATAGCTCTCAGAGCACTTCACAAAGGACGTCAGTATCATTATTCCTATTCTACATATGGGGAAACTGAGGCAAAGAGAATGGAACTCCATGCCTAAGGTCAGCCAGCAGGACAATGCGGGTGCCAGGAACAGTCATAGGGTTGCCAACCCTTCCGGATTGGCGGGAGTCTCCCGGAATCGGCCTTGATCTCCCAGTGGCTATTGAAAGCAATCTGGGAGATTTTAATAGGTCGCTAAAAGTCCTGGGGGCTAAGGCAGGCTCCCTACCTGCTCTGGCTCAGAACGGCTCCCGGAAGAAGCGGCACATCCCTCTGGTTCCTACGCACAGGAGCAGCCAGGGAGCTCCACGCGCTGCCCCCGCCCCAAGCACCGACTCCGCAGCTCCCATTGGCCGGGAACATACTGGTCATCTTTGCTTTTCAGCTCCTGCAGGAGAAGAGCAGACACTGAACTGAGAAACATTGCTCTGCAGAGCTTCAGCACAAGCCAGAGAACCTAACAATCAATATCCTGCATCTGCCCCTTCAGCCATTATGGAAAGTGACGAGGGAAGAGAACTGAGGAACAGAACAGTGGTTAGGAGAGAGAAGAGATGATGGGAAGATCTACTACACTTGCTAGCAAGGAGGAGGAAGCCTCAGTGCTTGGGCTATTTAACCCTTGTCTGGACTAAGCGGGACAGGACTAGAAAGCCCCAAGAGTAAACTATGGGAACAATCATGCATTGGCAGGGAGATTACTCCTGGGGGGATTCTGTGCCAAAAAATAACAATTCTGCAACAAAAAAATTAGAATAGAATCATAGAATATCAGGGTTGGAAGGGACCTCAGGAGGTCATCTAGTCCAACCCCCCGCTCAAAGCAGGACCAATCCCCAACTAAATCATCCCAGCCAGGGCTTTGTCAAGCCTGACCTTAAAAACCTCTAAGGAAGGAGATTCCACCAACTCCCTAGGAAACCCATTCCAGTGTTTCACCATCCTCCTAGTGAAATAGTGTTTCCTAATATCCAACCTAAACCTCCCCCACTGCAACTTGAGACCATTGCTCCTTGTTCTGTCATCTGCCACCACTGAGAAGAGCCGAGCTCCATCCTCTTTGGAACCCCCCTTCAGGTAGTTGAAAGCAGCTATCAAATCCCCCCTCACTCTTCTCTTCTGCAGACTAAACAATCCCAGTTCCCTCAGCCTCTCCTCATAAGTCATGTGCTCCAGCCCCCTAATCATTTTTTTTGCCCTCCGCTGGACCCTTTCCAATTTTTCCACATCCTTCTTGTAGTGTGGGGCCCAAAACTGGACACAGTACTCCAGATGAGGCCTCACCAATGTCCAATAGAGGGGAATGATCACGTCCCTCAATCTGCTGGCAATGCCCCTACTTATACAGCCTAAAATGCCGTTAGCCTTCTTGGCAACAAGGGCACACTGCTGACTCATATCCAGCTTCTCATCCACTGTGACCACTAGGTCCTTTTCTGCAGACCTGCTTCCTAGCCATTCGGTCCCTAGTCTGTAACAGTGAATGGGATTCTTCCGTCCTAAGTGCAGGACTCTGCACTTGTCCTTGTTGAACCTCATCAGGTTTCTTTTGGCCCAATCCTCTCATTTGTCTAGGTCCCTGTGTATCCTATCCCTACCCTCCAGTGTATCTACCACTCCTCCCAGTTTAGTGTCACACAATATTTTAAAATTCTGCAAAATTCTACATATTTTATTTGTCAAAATAACACAATACAGTATAATCACACCAGTTTCAATTATTTTTGGTCAGTTATTTCAAAATACCTGTCAGCAAGTATGTCTGTAACAATACAGACAACAACAAAGATTCAGGAAATGTTTTTTGAGAAACGGATTCCTTACTAGGCATATTAATACAAAACTCGGAGTAATTCATTTAAACTACAATACAGACACCTTTCCCACACCCCTCGGAAGCAGTCCAAAGGCTTGGGGAAGTTAGGGGTAACGGAGGAGCTGAGGGAGAGGGAAGTAACTTGCTAGGAAGAAGCCTGGGTGTGGAATTGGAGGGTTGTTGGTAGCTGGGAAAAGTATGGAACAGGTTTTCTGTGTATATGGATTTGTTACTGTAGGGGAGCACAGTACCCTGGCCTAAGAGAAGCGACAGGCAGTTCTGGGTCACTTACTCTTGGACAGTGTCCCTCTAACATTAACATGCTCCAGCAAGACCCTCCGTGCCCCACAGCCGTCTCCACACACCCCTCCGCACTCCTGGCTCCGGGAATCTACCTGCTGCAGTTCGCTGATGAGCTTGTTCTTCTCTTCGATGAGCAGAGCACGCTGCTGCTGCTGCAGGTTGAGCACGTCCCACAGGTCCTGCGGGATGGTTTTCTCTTTGGCCGAGCCCCATTTCGAGGTGATCTCTTCAAACTTGTCCTGATTAGTCTTGGATTCATTCTCCAGTTTCTCGAGCCTGCAGAGAGCAGCCAGCACAAGGCAGATAACGCAACTGGGGCTCGTGGCGGGTTCGGCGGCTGCCCTTGGCTAAAAGTCGCTGAAAGTCCTGGGGGCTAAGGCAGGCTCCCTACCTGCTCTGGCTCGGAACAGCTCCCGGAAGCGAGCGGCACATCCCTCTGGTTCCTAGGCACAAGGGCAGCCAGGGAGCTCCACGTGCTGCCCCCGCCCCAAGCCCCGACTCCGCAGCTCCCATTGGCCAGGAACCGCGGCCAATGGGAGCTGTGGGGGCAGTGCCTGCAGGCAGGAGCAATGTGCAGAGCCCCCGTGGCCGCCCCTGAGCCTACAAGCCGTCCAGTCACTTCTGGGAGCCGCCTGAGGTAAGCGCCACCCAGCCAGAGCCCGCACCCCCTACCCCAGCCCTGAGCCCCCTCCCACACCCAAACTCCCTCCTGCACCCCAGCCCAGTGAAAGTGAGTGCGGGTGGGGGAGAGCGAGCGACTGAGGAAGCTGGGAATGGGGCCTCTGAGAAGGGGCCTGGCCTCAGGCAGGGGCAGGGCAAGGGCATTTGGGTTTGTGCCATTAGACAGTTGGCAACGCTAGGAACAGAACCTAGGTCTTCCATCACCCATTGCTCACCTCTGTTCCCTGGTTTGCACCAGCTGCTCCTTCCACAGAGCGGGTGGCTGGTTATGGGGCCGGGTCCAGACCTATTCACCTTCTGCACCAAAACACCCCAGCTGCCCCGGGCAAGGTGCTGCCCCTCTGCGCCTTGACTCAGAGCCACGTCCCACCCCTGCCCTCAGGGGGAGCAGAAGTGACCGTGGCTGGTGGCTGATCCTGGCAGCCAGCGAGTGAGCCTTTTGGGGATGCTTGCTTGCTGCTGCACCAATATTATACAAATTACCTAGTTAACGTACGACCACGAACCTCTGCTTAAAATATCGGGCTTCAATCCCAGTGGCTGGGAAAATCTGGCCACAAGGGAGGCTGGGAGCAGGGTATCAGCGCCCCTCCCAAGGGACCAGGCCAGGTCCAGCTCCCAGTCAGGGGGCTCTGCAGGGTCAGTAACTCAATGACAGCCCCGCTCTCAGCAGAGGGCAGTTGTGGGGGAGCGGTGGCTCGCGCCACTCTGAACATCAGAGCAGAACCCCAAACTGGACTAGTCAAACAGGAAGCCAGGGCAGAGGGGAGGGCCAGGGCCAGGAGGGTGGAAGAGGAAAGGATCCCAAGCTGGGAGCTGGGTAGAAAAAGCAGCTAACAGCAGCAGTAGAGTGAAGGCCTTTGGGCTAAGACCCAGTTTACCATCCGCTGGATCATTTACAGGTGACTGGGCTTGAGGCATTTGCAGCTCTGATTACTGCAAGCCCAGTTATTGCTGATGCTGTTTGGGGGACCTGTTTGGAACTCAAACTGGTGCAGGAAGGAGGAGGTGAAGCCTGCTTTGCAAGGAGGGTGAAGGAAAATCCAGGTGGCAGATTCATTCTCCACTAGTGTAATATGTGTGAGGAGAAGAGAATGAATTTGCCTCATACCCAGGGAATGTCAAAGGTTACTAGTGCGGCAAGTCAGGACTCCTGGATTCTACTCTCATCCTTACCAGAGACTTCCTGTGACGGCTTGGGCAAGTCCCTTAACCTCTGCAGCTCAGGGCAGGTCTTCACTACAGGGGGGAGTCGATTTAAGATACGCAAATTCAGCTATGCGAATAGCGTAGCTGAATTCGACGTATCGCAGCCGACTTACCCCACTGTAGGGACGGCGGCAAAATCGACCTCCGCGGCTTCCCGTCGACGGTGCTTACTCCCACCTCTGCTGGTGGAGTAAGAGCGTCAATTCGGGGATCGATTGTCGCATCCCAACGGGACGCGATAAATCGATCCCCGAGAGGTCGATTTCTACCCGCCGATTCAGGCAGGTAGTGTAGACCTAGCCTCAGTCTCCCCCCACCCTAGAGGGATAACTTTCTTTACCGTCCATGGGTGTTTCAGGGAACCTTTAATGATCATGTAACATCTGCTAGCTGGACAGGACTCAAATTCTTCAGCTAAAGTTCTGGGAGGTTGGGGGAATGTGAGTGCCATTGACTTTGGAACTGCAGGATTTGATAGCAGCTGGACTGCACTGGGACAAGGGTTCAGAAAGTGCTTTGCACCCCTTTATCACCTTTGAGGCTCTCCAAAGTGTGGTATTCCAGTGCACTTGCTGGAGACATGCATAAGGTGCCCACCTTCTGTATGGGCCCATTGGATTGTATATGCTGCACGTTAACAGAATTAGTTGGGAGAATGCAACACTTTCTTCCATCGTTGGCAGAACTCTGTGGAATTGTTTCTCTCTCTGTGTGTCTGTCTGTCGGCAGGCACCGAGATGTACACCTAGGAACCTCCGCCAGCTGTTGGATGATGTGCCGGCTCCAACGAAGCGTATCCCATTGAGGGGGGGTGATCTGACCCAAACAGACCGAAACACCCTCAAGTCAATTCTAGAGTTCAAAGGAGGAGACTGCCCATCTCAAAGGCAACTGGACAACACGTTCTACTGAAACCATCAGCAAAAACAGACAATGAGAAAACCGCTAAAAGGCTTGGAAAATTTTATTCTTTCCTGAAGTTTCATTTTCAATATATACTTTTTTTTACAATAAATATGTATCAGCAATAGCCTTTAACAGATTGGCATTCAAATCCACTGCAGTACTCTAAGCTCCCAACAGTAGAGACACATGGATCCTAATGAGAAAAGCAGGTTTGGTAGAACTCTGCACTGACAAGACAATATATAGTTATACTGGATTTTCCTGTTTAAATAAAGCTCTGTACAATCAGTTTGCTTAGCGGTGACTGGTCCCGGCCAGGCTACGGCTCACCTGGGTGGGATGGGACAGGATGTGTTTGCAGACCCACTCACAGCAGTGAAGTGACAAGCAGAGGCTCTCAGAGCCGTGATAGCAGGCCACAGTCACACAGGGCCAGGCTCAGGGAACACGACGGGTCCACGTTACAGTTACTGGCCACGGAAGCTTTTGTTTCTGTAGGTGGAGGGGGAAGTGTTGTCATGGGAGTTCCTTCCCCCCTTTGCGCAAAGAGTCAAGGGAGCAGGAACAGGCAGTTGTATGCTAAGAGTCAAGTAAGATGCCCCCTTCTTACTCAACAGACCTGCACCGAAGTGACCAGTCCCAATGCAAGTCAGATACTTTGGAAAATCCCACCCACAACTACTAGCATGAGCCTTTTCTGCTCCAACACCATTAGCCCTGCAGAACCCGAATGAGGGGGATTCTGCTCTGCTTTGCCATCCGTTGTGTGGGCGTAACTGAGGGTAGGGTGTGGCCTGCACAGTCTCCATTGCTGGGGTTGATACATGAGCCAGGAAGAGCCCAGCTCGACTCTCAGGGTGCAGGTTGAATGAGCAGGGCTGGCAGTTAGAAGACCCGTTTGATCTGGAAGCCTGGGAGATACAAACATGGAGCCCACAACGTCATTGTTACAGAGTCACCTTCCCAAGCATTTTCAGCTCGGGCCTCGCGCACGCCTGCCCCCAAAGCACACCGTTCCGTTTAGTGGGCTCTGCACTCAGTTAAAGGCTGCCCTGGCAGGGGATGCTGGGTCAGAAGGAACTTCTTGCTGCCCAAAAAGCACGTCACCCTGGACCAGTCTGACCAGCTGTCAAGTAATAACAAATAAGTCCTGGTAGAATGGAGCGAATGAGGCAGATTTATATCTGGAAATGAGACCATCACTCCAAACCAAATGCACCTGAACAATTAACTGGTTAGTAACAACTAGCACTACCTATTAATAGATCTTTATTCCTGGAGCATGTTCCGTAAGACGCCATGATGGTGGCTAACCGAGGTACAGGTAGCAAACAGCTTTCCTCTGGGACGCGGGTCTGCTAAGAACGTGCTGCTAAGTGATGCCTCCCTCTTCTGTTAGGTTTTTCGCTGCTGCCGTAAGACAGAAAACAGGCGGCGCTGACAAGTCCAGCTGCACGGTAGGATTTTTCTGATTTAATCAAGACTTGGTTCAGCAGCAAAGAGGTTAAACAAACTTCTGTTGCAACCACCTTCCAAGACAGCAGACATAAGATGCTGTCTCCACAGCCCTGGCCTGCCGCCACCTCCAATACAATGCTGCGAGGTAGACTGGGGACATAAGGCAAACAAGGTACTAGCAAAGGCTTCCCTTGGCTACTACAACCCTTGCCCAGTTTGCGGTCCGTCTGCATTTCAACAAAGCACAAACAAGATCTAAGACAGCCCAGCTGATCTCAACCCACCAACCCAAGATGCCCCCCGTGACTGGCACACCACATAAAACAACCACCACCTGTGACAGAGAAAGATTCTCCCGTGGCTTTCAGCACGCAGAGGATTTACCATCATCCCAGTGCTGCAGCACAAGGAAAGAGGAGCAGGTCTCCTTTACAAACGAACCAAATCCCCCAACTCCAAGCGGTTGGGTTTTTACGCCACTGTTAACGCACCATTAGCTAGAACCACAAGAGCTTCCCAGCTGTTCAAATTACTTGCATAGCAGGCAGCGCTGAGTGCATCTTTGCAGGGCAAGTCGACACTACGAGAGGCTACGTCGGCACAGCTACGCCGCTGTAGCGCGTCTGGTGAAGAGCCGCTATGCTGACGGGAGAGCGTCTCCTGCCCACCTAGCGCCAGTGTGGTCAGCGCTTAAGTCGATGTCACTTGTGTTGCTCATGGGGGGGGGTGTCTTTTTCACACCCCTGAGCGATGTAAGTTACATCAACTTACGCAGTAGTGTAGCCCAGCCCTCGGCGTGGAGGAAAATTCAGCTGGGCCACAGCTGAAAAAGCAGCATTTATTTATATACAACAAATCTGATCGGTCACTTCGGAAAGTCACAACAGGCCAGAACGTTCTCACTGTGGGCTAAGACACCAGGAGCCCAGATAGAAGACACCAGGAGCCTAACTTTAGAAACCCAAGATCTGAATATTTTTGCTGTAGTGACCAAGAAAACCCCAAGCTGAATGAACACATTAGTCATCCATGAGATTCAGTATTGGCGGATTCCCCAGCGGTACCCTAGATCAGGCCGCGAGCATGATAAATTCACCAGACAGGGCACAACAGGCATGGAAAGGCCAGGTACAATCTCAACACTGCAGTTCCTGCCTTCTCTATTGTTTGTACTCTATGGACCAACTGCAACAGAAATGCTTGTGAGGGATGCTAACTTGGACCACAACGGCTACTTTCATTAACATACCAGTGACTTCAGAGAGCTGTTAAACCTGCATGTATGTGCCCCAGCTAAATGCGTGTCCCATGAGCCGGATTTTACAGTCACGAGGTTGAACTCAGAGGAGGGGGGGGTCGGCAGAAGACGTTGCATGGGGGGAGGGGGGCTGCAGGTCCGCAGGGGGGCGAAGTGCAAGTTACACACGCTCAGGAAGCCTCAGCATGGAAATGAAGCTGCGCGCGTAACGAACCGTTTTTCTGAGCGGAAGAAGCCACGCGATGGCATGTGTGTCCGCTCCCAAGGCTTCCAACACTCACTTCAACCACAAAGATCCCTAATCGCAGGAACGCAAGGGGTCAAAGTGTCTTCAGCAAGCCACTGGCTTATTTTCACAGTGCTCCGGCGAGTCTCTAGCACAGGAACGGGAGCAGGACGATGTTATGGAAACCGGCTTGTGGAGATTTAACGACATGGAACAGTCCGTTTTTAAGCCAACCGCTTACGTACACTGCCTGACTTGGGCACGTTGACGGCCCAGAGGGGTTCTTCCCCAATGCTCGGCTCTGCCTGCCGATAGTCCAGGCTGAGGTACAATTGACAGCACTGAGGCATCACCCGGGGAGCATTTTTAAGGATGATAAAAGCAGCGGGGCGGCTCACTCAGGGGTCTCAATAATTAAGGACACAAAACAAGCAGCTCTTTTACATGGGCAGAGAAGCACAAGGGCTCAGAGTGCCTCAAATACGCAGAAGGGGAATTCTAAGCATGGGCACATACGCTCCTGGGTCAGAGTATCATTCCTTCCAAAGAGCCCGGCACCGGAAAGGAACGCACCCCGCTACAAGGAAGAGGCCAGGGTGAGGAAGCAGAATTTCCACCTTCGTGTCTCCTCCTTACCCAGTATTGCAGAGGCCAGAACAATGACCAAATCCAGCCCTTCACTAGAGAACGAGTTTATTTTTAAAGACCGAATTAGGAGAAAACACCAGTTTTCTTTAAAAATAAACCAACCCAAAAGATTTGCTCCCCCTCGCACACACTTGCGGTGGGGAGGCTGTAATTTTGTCTGTTTCTGATCAGACATTTCATTCCCCAGAATCCATGACATCAAGCACGTCAGTCACTAAATTCAGATCAACACTGCGCAAATGAAAACTGTTTATTGTGTTGGGCGGCAGAACGTGCCCAGAGAGCAGAATCGGACAGGTTAGAGAGCTCATCCTGCCCTCATCTGCCTGAGCTCGAGCAGCATTAAAACTGGTTTCTAGCATAATTTGATTGTCGAGGTTTTGCTAGCCCCAACATGCAATAAGTTAAGGCACCAAATTCCACGACTCCCCAGAGATAAGCCTGTGTGTGTAAAAGGGTTTGAGAGATCCTGCCGTAAGAACATGTCAGTAAAATGCATGAAGGCGTTTAGATTGCAAGTCTGCTCTAGCTGCCAGCCTCCACACAAGAGTGTTTTTTTCAGGGTATGTTTCCATGCACGGCCCGAAGGAATGGTTCAACGTACTCCACAGCCAGAGGAACAGTGACTAGGGAACCGAGCAGACAGAATCTCACAATGTAAACGCCACCCCAGTCTGAACACAGCAGTGCTGCCGGGAGAGTGGGGACGGGGCGGAGAAATGGGACATGCCATAAAAGGAAATGCAGAACACGTTTAGCTTCATGCTTGGGACCCAGACATTTCTTAACGTGACTAGTCAAGGGGAACTGGCCCAAGTATTCCATGATCCGTCGGCACGCAGATGGAAAAACCCAACCTCAGCAACGTGTCACGGCCACGAAGGCGGATTGTGCAGTAGGAAAACGTTCCACAGACAGTTAAACTGTGTGTCCCATTTTCAACAGCTGGTTTCAAATTCTTAATGTTTCTTGCGCAACTACAATTTCAGTTAATTTGCCCATAATTATATATTTAATTCAACAGTTACGAGTGTCAAAAATTGAATCACAGCCCAATTCCTCTGTACATTTAAGCTTTTTCTGTACAATGTCAGTAATATATATATATATATGAGAGAGTACGTTACTTAGTTCATCAACTCTGAGGGGGGAATAAGAGGTTTTTTCCTCTCCCAGATTAACACCTTCCTCCAGTTCCTGATGTACAGTCATGACACATTAACAAAACAACTAAAACGTGTTTAGTCCAATCACCTCACAGCCGAAAAACAAGATGGGAACACCTAGAGATGGAAGCAGTAATGGTATTTTCCCGCTTGAAATTAAATTCTCCCCCTTGTGTCTGGCAGGGTGTACCTCTATCCATCAGCTCTGATCTCGTACAGGACACCCCAGTGAGAATTCAAGTTCAAATTAAAACCAACCTATTTACAATAAATGCTGTGAACTGGCTTCTGGCCCTTCTGTTTCGTATAACTTGCATGACAATGATTTACATTTACAAAAGAAAAGCGTTAAATAGTAATGACAGTTAAGTTTTCCTAGAGCAGGAGATTTTTCACCCACGGAAGGAATACACCATGAGCAAGCTACTCCCCAGGTATGAATGAATTTGTTCCCACAATACATTATATATGAACATTCGTTGTGCTTGCCCACTTCCGAGTGCAGCCTGTCCAGAGTCTGGGTTTAGACTGCGCTCTTCATTCAAGCACAAATCTTCATTAAATACAATGAACAGAAAAGAAAATCAGCACTCAGTCTTCACCACCACTCAATTAAATGAATTACAAAAAAGAAAACCGCTGAACGCGAACGGCTTAACAGATGGGAAACAGAAAGCTGGATGGGATGTGTGTGACCTAAATGACATGGTAATTTAAAAAAATCACCTCTACTTTTCCCCCAATAAAATATCCACAAGTGTATGTGCATGTCAGCGGCTGTAAGAACTATTCGGGTGTTTTTCCAAGCTGTGGGATTTGCCACAAGGCAGTTCTCTGGAGCTGTGAGACTGCGTCTGTAGAGATTGTCCCACCCTTCACGGGGACGTGCACACAAATCATAGTGCATACAGCAAGTCTGAAATGAGACAAGCTCCATGTAGCATGTGACTCCCCTTCCCCCTGCAAGCCAACCCTCTGACATTAAATGAGGTTGTACTGATTTATCAGAAGGGAGAATTTGGCCAAGTGCTATTTTAGCTCTTGCAGGCAGTAATAAGCCACCCGCCATCCCAAAACAACCATTGCTGCTAAGAGCTCAAGTTCCCTTCATGGGCTCGTGATTAAAGAACACATGTGGCCAATGTATGGTTAACAAGAAAAATACTGTCAAGATATGGTCCCAGTTACCCACAGCTGGAAAGGACGGGGGGGGGGGGGGGGTAAGAAGAAGGGGAAGCTGCCTTAACCACTTGGGAATTGAGGGATTTGACTAAGTCATCCTAGTGGAATATCATTTGAAGCTTCTAAACAAACATTTTGCATGAATGGACACGTGTGCGCGCGCATGCTGGGATCTGCTCCCTAGACTAGCATCAAGGGACAAAGGTCATCTGAGAAGGTCTAACACTAGACAGCCGCGTGTGTCACTCATGTGCCTTCGTGTACGACGAAGACGTTCCTCACTGACCCTGCAGCTCAAACGTCTCCGTTACAGATGTGTTGAGGCCACTGCTACTAACTCAGCTGCCAGGTTATTTTGGGTGACCGTGCGTTCTGAGCGATGCCATCCACGTTCCCAAGCCAGCTCTACCCGAACAGAGTTAGGGCTTGAAGACGTCTGGCTAATCTAATATACAGGAATAATTGGAAAGGCTACTCCCCTCGCCTGGTTTCACCATAGAGCGGTTCGTGTTTTCTCAATGGCAGTGGGGGGTCTAGCCCTGGTGCTGAGCCCCCACTGCCCCAGTGTCTGTCCAGAAGATCGATGTAGGTCTGTGGTGATGGTTGAAGTGCAAGCTATTTCCAGCAGTTATTTACAGTACTTGTGCAGACTGCAGGCTGATTTTCTCTTCTTCCCCTTCTAGTCAATCTGTACTGGGCTTCTTTAGCGAGAAAGGCCGGATGTTGAAATGTTTGCTCAGCTGGCTTACCTGGGGGAGGGAGAGAGAGAGGTTAAATGAAAGCAGTCCATCAGCCAACATGCCTTCCACTTCAGCCTCAAACAATCAAGGGGACTTGAATGGAGCAGTTCAGTACGCCTCAGGATTCGGGCCCAGGACTGCAGTGAATTGGCAGGGTGCTGTATGTATGGGAAGGATGCATAGCCCCTGCCCATGGTATGCTCATCCCCCACCAGGGCTATTAGTCACTCCCTTACAGAAGCCCCTAAGGATACATCTACACGGCAGTAAGACACCCCAGGCTGGCCAGTCAGCTGACTCTGGCTTGCCGGGGTTGGGCTATAAAACTGTGGTGTAGACATCTGGGCTCACGGACCCCACAAGGGGGGAGGGTCTCAGACGCTGAACACCTGCACTGCAATTGTACAGCCCCACAGGCCAAGCCCCGTGAGCCTGGCTCAGCTGACATGGGCCAGCCACCGGTGTTTTACTGCAGCGCAGACATCCCCTTACGCACCACACCACGGACCAAGCGAGCCGCACGTGCAGCTAAAAAAGGCTGAATGGCCCCACATGGGTGCATGGGACCTGTCTCAGAACACCAGGAGCCTGCTGTGCAGGGCCAGGCCAGCCAGACACGACACTCCGCAAACCGGTGTACTTCTCTGAAGCACCCCTCTCTCTCCATGGACTGTGAGAATGCCGGCAGGCTCCCACCAAGCCAAAGCCCTGGGACACAGGGCCCACAAGCCACTAGTCCAGCCTGGGGTGGAGCAGCTGCACCAATTCTACACTCTACCAGATCCGGGAACGACTGACTGTCCTTCAACATGCCACTGGGGTTTGCATTGTGGGGTCCAGCATTTGCCCCTCTAAGAGGTTCTGACGAATAGAAATACTTATGACAATTCCCGACTGTCCATCTAGTGCAGTATTGTGCTGCACAGTGACCAGAAGCAAGCGCAAGAAACCCCCAAGGGGATCAGTTCTGGGCAGGCTTCTCCAAAGGAAATTTGTGCCCTAACCCGCCTCACCAGTTAGTGGGTGGTTTTAGCCCTGAAGCATTAAGGTTTCTACACCTTACAAAGAGATTTGTACCCTACCCAAAGTACCTGGATAGTCTCATTACACTTTTATATGGAATCTTAAACTCTTGGTCCCAAATGGTATCTTGTGGCAGTGAGTTCTACACGCTAATTGCACATTGTAAACCATATGCATTTCCTTTGATCAGTTTTTAAGTCGACTGCCTTTCCTCTCTGAACGTGCACTTGTTCTTGAATGCGCCTGGCCTGTTGCGAGCTGTGAAGCCAATGCTCATGCTTTAGCTAAACAAGTAACAAGGGCATACACAAGTCGCTCCGTTGAATACTAGCCATACATGAACTGCAAAAACAAGCAGAAGCTGGCTTGCTTCCAGAGCGCGATAGTCAGACAGCAGCTACATAGCACCCTCTTATAGCTCTGAGCTAACAGTGCCTGCACTAGACTGTCCTGCCTAGCCACTCCCACCAGACGACAGTACAACAGGACATCGGTATGTAACTGTGCCAAGAGACAGTATGTCTGAGATTTGGAGACCCGCTTTTAATTATCCTTGAGAAGCCTCCTCTCGCAGTGATCTTCACAAGGCAGAAAGGGCTCATTTCCTCCCGACAGACAGTGAAAAGCCATGTCGGACTTAAAGGCTGCATTCAGGAAATTTGCTTTTTGATGAGATTATGCAGAGAGCTACGTCAAGTCATTAGGCTGGCTGAAATTTCAGAGTTGTTTTTAAAGCGATTCACATGGCTGGCAGGAAAAGACCAACACATACAGCATGGCAGCTAAGCAACCACGTCACCCAAGGCCTGTTCACCTGCAGCTCCGGAGGAGAAACTGCAGATTCACTCTCACCCCATCGTGTCTTACAAAGGGGTTCCAAATGGGTGGGGTTTTTCAGAGAGTATAAGGCGAGAGGAGACCATGATGACCATCAGTCTGTGTCACAGGCCCAAGAACGTCACCCACTGAGTCCTGCGTCAAACCCGTGTCTTGCAAGGAGCTAGCGTATATATTTTTGAGCTGGCCCAAAGCGACAAGTGCTCGGGGTCCCACTCTGGCTGCTGAGGTGGTCATTTCCCTGTCCAGTTGACCTAGGACAACCCAACTGGGCTCTTCCCACTAAGCAGCACTCCCACCGCCTAGACGTTCTGCGTCCTGCCAATTCCTTCACGCAGTGCCGGTCTCCCACAGTTAGCTACAGTGCTTCCTTGATCCCTGAAGGCATCCGGATACAGGGGAGACACTTCCACTGTGCTCTCCCTTCCCAGCTTCTCCCCAGCAGAGGAACTCATCTCAGAAGCTGGAAATATGGCAGGTTCTACGTCAGTAATTCAGGTTCTTTAGTCACTCTTTATTTAGCCAGACAACCACCGCACTTCAGACAGCGTTCTAGTTACACTATGCCTGGGGCATCTGAAAGCAATAGTTCAAAGGCGCAGTATGAAAAAAATCAGTTAACGCCTATGGGAAAGTTTATAAATCTGTACGCAGGGCAGAAACACTGTTTGGGTTAACACGTTAAGGCTGTCTTCCCAAGCAGTGCCCCCTACCGGAGACAGTGTCAAACGGATTCGAGTGTCCAGTCACGTGCTACCCAGCAGCAGCCGTGGGGGCCTTTAGAAAAGAAGTTCTAAGTAAAGTGAAATATTAGGAAGTGAATGGTACCTAGCTAAGTCCCCAAATAATTTATTTAAAATTAGAGATACGCCCAACCTGGTCTCTGGATCCCATTCTGATCTTGGCATTTTTCCGACCGACAGAACCAGAACTACATCCGAACTTGGGCACATTAAATCCATGTTTCGCCAGTGTTGGGTTCCTACGTTTTAAGCTGCAAACTGTGATCTGAAACAGGATGTGGATCCAGCGTTTGGATTAGACCCAGTCTTGAATTTAAACGACTAAAAGAATTTCTGCTGCAGCTGGGCTGTCAGTTCCTGGTGTACAAAATAAGAGCTTTCAGATGCCACCTATTTAGCTTCCTTTCATGTTTTCTAGAAATGTCTCAATCTGCCTGGTATTCCAGGTGTTACATGCGACACCCCCTGCAAAACTGATCAGCAATGGGGCGAAGTGAATCCTACAAGCAGAGCCGCTACAGTGAAACCCCAAGCCCAAAGGCAGATGTCACTTACCACTCCTACGCCGTAGTGGACGTGCGCCAGGGTAATGAGAGCCGTCAGTAGGTATAGGAGAAGATTTTCCCAGTGTGCTGCGACTCCAGAGATCACCACAAAGATGACCAGGGCTAATGGCAGCAGCATCCAGTTGAGAGGCTGGCACCGGGTACTACTCATCTGACACACGATCAGCTGGCACTGGTGGGGGCAGGCGGGAGAAAGGTCTGTTAGATGGGCTTTGGTTTCCTTCCAACGTGAGCCTCCAAGCCATGACTCACTCACTCGGAATACAGCAATGAAGGCTGTAGCGGGGTGGTCACCCACTCCGGCCTTAGAGGGCTTCAAACAGCCCAGAAGAGGGCTGCGGCTGGGAGCAAGCAGTTCCCAGGCTCAGCTGTGACCGTGCCCCAATCAGGGCTCAGCTGGCCCTTATAAGAGGGCAGTGGGCCAGGAACAGAGTCAGTCTCTCTCTGTCTCTAGAGGGAGAAGGCTCTGGGCCTGGCTGCTGGGATGCTGAATGGGGTACCTGAGGGGAGCAGGGCTGGGGGATAGGGCAAGGGAGCTGGGGAGCTCCCGCCTGGAAAAGCCCCAGGCTGCGGCCTTGTCAAAGGCCAGAAAAGTACTAGGGTGCAAGGGTGCAGCCGGTCCAAACCCCCCTTGCCTGTGGTGAGTGGCTTTTACACTGCAATCCGCCCCAGCGAGCGGGGGCTAGATGGTGACTGGCAGTAGCCCAAGACTGAGGCGAGGTGGGGATAGTGGGTGGGGAGACCCTGAGAGCAGGTGTACTGCCAGGGGGCAGCGCCCGAGGACAAGGGGCACTGGGTCCGGGAGGGACATGGGGGCCAGCGGCCGCAAGGCGCCAGCCTGCAGAGGGCGCTCCTGAGTCTAAGCTTATTCCCAGGACGACCGAAGGAGGCGCCGCAGGGGTGAGTCTCGCACCGTTACAGGGCCACATACGTCTCTAGAGCGATAATTATTAAAACATGGACAATCATCTGCTCTAAAGGTTCCCAAAGACTGAGAAAGTTTCCATTTTGACATGAATTCCTCTTGTGCATATAACCAGAGAAGTCCACACCAAGAGCAGACCACCACAAGGATCTATTTGCATTGACTGGCCAATTCTGGTCAAATCTGACCGATCTTATCTGCAAAGTTAGTAGAAAAAACTCTGCCGAGTGGGAAAGACAGGAAGCCCTGCTTCTGGGCACAGTCCGAGGATAGTGACAGATCTCTGATTAAAGCGCCACAGCTTCCTAAACCTCATCGCCAGGGCTGGCCTTTTGTCATGCAAGGCACGGATTCCATGGCTTAACAGTATTCATGATTTGGGGGGGGGGGGGAATGAGGGCGGGGGCTTCATGTCTGTAGGCAGATGTGACAACACACAGCTGAATCAAGTTTACCAAGAACCTTGCGAGTGACCATGTTAAAGCTGAGAGAGCAGGAACTCAATTATGTGAATTGTCAGCCAGTATCAGGGAGGGGTGGAAAAAGCACATACTGGGTTTGGGGAAAGTGTCAGATCTGGTTTACAGGACACGTTTTTCAGCTCTAAAAAGAGTCAGCGTTTCTCTCCTGCCCACTTCAGTGCCTGCCCTTTCAGTCATGGCAGTGCAGCAAAGTGGTTTAGTTACAACAGATACAATCCACAATTCTTGGCATTTTCATTCTGGGTTTGTGACTTGCCTTTCCACCTCATGAGCAGACTGGATAGTTCGTATAATGTAGCCTGACAAACCGCTAGCCCTCCCCATTGTGTTAATTCAAATCAGCCACCCCCTGTCCACACGCATTTTAGCGGAGAACTAGCGCTCTTACTGAAATGTTGGCGAAGGCTGTTCCAACCATGAAGTAGAAGAGCCTGGGGTGGACCTCCAGGATGTCCGACGGCGACATGAAGATCCAGGTCATGCACAGAATGAACAGCAATGCTGGCGAGAAGAACGGCAGCATGATTTCATACACTGACCTGTGCTTCAGAGTGTTACTTTTATAGGCCCTGAAAGGCAAAAGGAACACAAATCTTAAGTCAAACTCTCGGAAGCCACAGCTTCTAACAGGCAGGCACAAGCCTTCCTTTGGGAACTCTCCAATCCAGGTGAGCGCCCAACTAGCCTTGGGCACCTTTCCTGAAGTGGAGTACGACCAGCACAGGCTGGGCAGAGCCCAGCAATAGGAATTGTGAGAGAAAATGGGCAAGAGGCCAGTCTCAGGTCAGACACCCCCGCGAATAATGCACCCACGATAGTTACATGTTGCTTATTCAGATGGGTCTTTGGTAACCCTGCATTAGTGGACGATGGATTTCAACGCTGAAGTAATAACTGGCCAATCCCAGATGCAGCCTTTTAAGGAGCTGGCAACAAAGGGGAGAACCGGGGCTCCCAAATGGAGTTCAGACTGCAACACTGGGTCTGGGCTCGGGAAACAATTCCGATGAGAAAGACGGTTTCCTGCACAGCTTCCTTCTTGCAGAGCCAGTGAGAGGCCAGATCGCCAGAGTAGGCGGATCAGTGAAATCTCAGTCTGGGTAGGCAAGAGTCAAATCACCCAGATTTATGCCAGGTGCTTAACGTTCATTTTGTCTACCGGGCGACTCATGGCTAGTTCAATATTCAAATCAGCCATTAGCAGGGTCACCAGTTAACGTCTGCAAATCAGGAAATCCGTCGGGGAAGTGCAGGATTTTGTTATTCAAGTAAGTAAAGGGGGGTGACGGGGAGGAGTGTGTTTTGGAATCCAACCCCTACTCAATCCCCCAAGGGGCCACTTCCCAGGTTGCCCTGTTCTTCTAGCCAGACATGCCGCTAATACAGCAACGGAGACCAGAGGTCCCAAAATGCACTGCTTCCACTTGAGCTACGCTGCTTGGCCTGCACGCAGGGACTAGGGTGACCAGATGTCCTGATTTTATAGGGACAGTCCTGATATTTGGGACTTTTTCTTATATAGGCTCCTATTATCACCCCCCCCCCCCCCACTCCTGATTTTTCCCCTCTTGCTATCTGGTCACCCTAGCAGGGACCTGTGCTCACAGCAAGTCACATTACTGTATTAACAAGGATGGCATCTTAAACCCTTCTCTATCTTAACCAGGAGTGCCTTTTGGGCTCCTGGGAAGCTGCCAGTGAAGGTAAGGAACGTTTATAAGGAGTCTAGTTTACAGAAAGCTACGCCAAGTCATGGCTCTCCTTCTATTACAGCCGGGGCAGTGCTGGGCCATCAATACACCGTGCTCTCCACCTACTTCTTTCTGCAGCATTCTGCCTGGCTAACTCCTAGCAGAACAGGATCACCACATGCGGTGCCTCAGACCCTGCAGAATAGTTCGTTCACATGATTTTTGGAAAACTTACTTGTAAAAGTTAATCAGGCTCATGGGCACAGTCACTGTGAGTGCACACCCTGAAAGAGAAAGGTCTAAGTTAAGGCAGCGTAGTAATTCAGAGTCCGTCGTCATCCCCGAACTCCTTTATGAGCATTGGCAGGGACAGACTGTTAACCATCATGCATCTTTTTTTAAACAGTCATTTGCAACAGTACAGTAGCTGAAAGGGTACTTAAACCCACGCTCACCCCACTGCTGCTCGGATTTGTGTAATGGCCATTAACGTGATTTGTATATTTGACTCAGCTCTTCAGAAAAAGCACTGCCTTGGTTAGGGAAGTGCCAATAAACGCATTGATGGAAAGAACTATTTCTTTTAGTGAAAACATATCTTGATCTGCATTCTGACCATAATTCCCAAGACGACACCCAGTGGGCAGCAGAGAAAGCATTATCAAGGGTTTCACTTTTTCATGCAAGGAGGACATATTTCAGACACAGAAAGGTTATTAGAAGGATAGAAGCAAACAAAACTGCCTAGATTTAATGTGCACCATTTAGGACATGAGAACTGCTATTAACAAAAGCTTTAGTCATTTGACCAAGTTTCATGGACCTCCCTGAAGGGCCAGAGTGCCATGAAACCCCAACACACTTTGAAAGCTGCCAGGGTGGCCAGCGGCTAAGAGATTAAATAGGGCAAAGCTGACGTTTGACCAGGACCTCCCAGCAGGAAAGCTGCCTCAGAAGGCATCTTTTGAAGGCTAGGGGTACCAAATTACTTCTCTTCCCAAAGGGTGAGCCACAAATACATTCAAAACAAGAGAGCAGTAAAGCTACCCAAGACTTTCTGGCCAGCCAACCTTAACACACTTCAGCTCCCAGGCTGACGTGAAGAGGCAGTTCTGACACAGTACTCTGTGGAGAAGAGTGATGGGAACTACAGACCAATCTGCTGCAACAGGCTAGATTCCAAAGGAGAGTCTTTCAGGCCACGCAGGCTGAGGTATCTAAATACAGACCTATTATCTAGCTCGGGGTGGCCAGACTGCACCACAGAGCAGTCCACAGCCACCCTTGATGTTTAGTAGGAGCGTGCAGACTATGGAAACAAGTCCGGGCATGCATGACTTCCACGCTGCTTAGCTTAGTACGGAGCATTGCATGCTGGGACCACCTCCCGCCTGGAGCTTTGTTTGGAGCTGGCTGCAATCTTCTCCATTCTATAGAAGTTAGATGCAGCCCACAGCCACTTAGACGGTTCCCACCAAAACCTCAATGGGACTAGTATCAGACCCTGTGCATTTTGTTGCTTTCAGTCTAGACCAAGACTCGTTCAGGCAAGTTTTCTACAGAGATATTTTATTAAGTTTCTCTTTGCTAAAAATATAAACAAATGCTGACTGTTTTTTAAAGTGAAACACTGGCTATTGGTAAAGCGGTGGTGGTTAAAAATAGGCTTCAACATGGAGCTTCTTACCAATAATCATTGCAGTGAATAGGTCTCTATATAAGAAATTAAACAGGAAAGGTGCATACCAGGCCTCAACTCCCACAATCGCTGTCACTATGTAGACAACTGAAATGGTCTGAAAAGGAAATGCAGAGAGAGCGCAGACAAGCATTAGCAGCTGGAAAGATGGGTCAGACCAAATGTGCTTTTGGCGGGGTGACCATTCCTCACCAGGCGGCTCCGAGAGCTGCGAGCGTTGCTTTCCAATCAGATTTTCACTACCCAGCTCTAGCTTTAAAACAAGAGGAAGCCTGTATCTCCGGGTCAGATGCAACCACGGTACCCCAGTGCAGCTGTCAGAACCACTTGGGGCCCCAAACATATGCCTCCATTCCCAGGTTCCTACGCTGACTGCATGTCAGGAACCAGCCCAACCTCTGCTTCCGGCAACATGACCAAGGAAGCCTCACTGCTAGTCTGGAAAGGGACAGAGTGAGGCAAAGGTTGCTTGGTCACCATGAGTTTTAAGGCCAGTCCGGAAAGGGGATAGCAAGGAGAGGGGCTTGTGATGCTCTGCCCTGTTCATCCTCCCACCCCCTGTGAGCTCTGTCTGCACATGCACCTGGGGATAGCCTCACCCCACTACTGGATTGACCAGCACAACCACAGAGGACAGTTGCACCAGCCACCAGAGCCACGTCTAACTGCCTCCTGTAGCAAACCAATCCATGGTATTTTCGGATTGTTTGATGCACGATCAAGAAAATGCACTATGGATTAGTGCCAGGTTAGGAGAAACTGGAGACGCGGGCCAGAGGATGACTGATTGCAAAGACTAGAGAAACCACGATTTTACTGATGGAAGGGGCAGCTTTCAAGGGAATTTCTAGTGTTGTACAACAACGATTCAGTAGAGATACCTGAACTCGTGACAATCGGTGCTTCTACAACCACTGGACCCGATTCAATCGCACACAAGTATGTACTGCTAAGTCGGTACTGTTACACGGGGGCCACAACAGAATCAGGCCCAGTCAGTTTGGGACAACCAACAATTAGTATCCAATTTTTAAAAACATTTCATTTCCTGCTAATGCAAAAACCTACGTCAACATAAAGATACTTGCAACACACATCACTTCTCTGCTGAAGAGAAATCAGATCTGTCCCAATCTAACTATGCAATAAAAGTTTCATGATAACTTCCTCCCTTGTTCCTTGATTCATTAAACTTGACTTTAATCATGGGAGAAGTCTGCTTTGCTGAATCAGAGCTTCATAAAGTAGCCCTGATGATATAGTTCCAACTATTGCACCCTGCAACCAACCTTTCTGCCCTCTGCCAGAAAGCTCTCCTCCCTGAAGAACTCAGAATATCGTTAGGTTTAGGTATGGTGATGGTGGCACTTTATGACTACTGGACAGATGTCACCAAGGGAAAGATGCCAGGGCAGCACATGCCCCTACACAAATAGTTCTGGCAATTCACCAAAGCCTGCCCACTGTTTTCTAAACGAGTATTTTGAAATCAAGAGGCAGAAGGGCTACTTACCACCTGGCTGATGTCATAGCCCCAGGGCAGGAAGAGAATCCCTGTGTTATATTTCTCCCAATGGGAGAGGATGAAGGAAAACAAAACCACCCATAAGAGCAGATAGAGAACGAAGACGCTGACACCATTGGATCCTCGCCCAAAGGTGGAGTAAACGGTCACTACGAAGAACATGCAGGCCCAGCTGTCCAGGCCATGGTCAAAGAGCTCCCCCAAGGGAGTGCTGGAGTTTGTTCGGCGCGCTTGCTTCCCATCAACACCATCTGGAAGGGAAGCGCACAGAGAGGCAAAGTTAAACCTCCCCAGGCAAAGCAAGGAACTCCTCTGCAGCTGCCAGACAACGTGGGCTCTGCTGAGAAGTCAGCAGCCAGCTTCAGTATCCAGCACTGTCCGCGGGGGTGCAGAGATTGGAAAAAGAAAAAAAACCAAACACAAAAAACCTTAGGAAGAGTCTATGTTAAATATTTAACAGAAATCTGCTTTCAATATTTCACGAGTAACCCCATAAAGTCAGTTCTGATAGGAAGAGACATCTACTTTTATGTTCCTCCCTGGAACAAGTGGGTAAAACAGATAAAACAATACAAAGTGTCAGTTTCCAGAGACATCTCAGCCAGAGATAGGTCATTCACAACACCCCAGAGTAAGGGGTGGCAGGGAACCGAGGAATTACCTAGAATCAGAGTTTTGTTTCGTGGGGGGGGGGGGGGGAGGGAAGAGGGCTGAGGGGAAGGAATTGGGAAAGACAGAACTATGACAACAGTTCACTTGACTAATTAAAGTCATTATGATGACAGGCACACTAGAAATCCAAGACACATCATGAGAATCTTAAGTCTTACCAAGTGTATATGCTACGAAGTTGAGGAGACCCACCATGACCCACACTCGATTTGGAACATGCTGATGATCAGGTGCTGTGGAGATTGGAAAGAAGATTGGAGAGTTGAGTGTGCGTACACACACACACACACAAACACACACACACACACACCCCAGCAGGTTATGCTTTGGTACAAGAGATGCTTTCAACAATAATTGTTTTAGCAATTAATTGGAACAAGGTTCCATCCAAATCTGTGGGTCATCTCACTGTCCTGAGGAGGCTCCTTTACATTCTCTCAGTGGGCTTGTACCACCGAAAGGAGATGCATCAAATCAGCCTTCACCTGCTCAGTGCCTACCAGCATTCTCTTACGCTTCTTTCTGCGAGGCATCCAGGAGATCCTGGAGATCACACTTTTTGCTGAATTTGTCAAAGATCTGGGCACACACAAGTGTCACACACTCAAATACTGCATCTGCCTCCTTTCCCCAAACCCTAAAACATGCAGTAACATTTTCAATGGAACTTAGGCACTTTTGAAATTTTTACTCGTGAGCTATTTTAAGCCCAAGACTTTAGAGCACAGGATAAATTCTAGACTGTAATTAGATGGATCTGCATTTCCTGGGATGAAAGTTAAAGTACCTAGTTACAGTACAACCACGATCCTGGATTTCGCTGCTAGGATGGCTTTGTTGCCTTCTGCACCCCACCCCATTCGCCCTTCTGGAGGACAGAGAGAGCAAGAGTTCCAGATCTTTGTGCTGTGAGAAAACCGTCGTGGGCAAGATGAAATTCTGTCTCCACATGGGGGCACTTTCGTTTTTAATGTATTGATTTTGTGGCAGGCTGCAGTCACAGGAGTTAAGAGAGCGATGCCAGGAGAGGGTGAGTCCATGAGCTGCGTGCCAGGTAATCACGATCCTGTCACTGAAATCGAGGATGCTTTGCTGTCATAGAAACAGAGGTGGGCAAGGACAGACGTTCCCAACTGCTTACTTACTGATGCCAAAATTGAGTAAAAACATCTGCAAAGCGTGATTCTATTCTGAGACGGGACTGTGTGAAAACAGTGGGGGCGCACAGATTCAGAGATTCCAAGGCCAGAAGGGAGCATTGTGGTCACCTAGTCTGACCTCCCTGCATAACACAGGTCAGAGAACTGCCCCAAAATAATTCCTAGAGCAGAGTTTTTAGGAAAAGATCCAATCTTGACTTAAAAGTTGCCAGTGAGAATTCACCACAGCTCTTGGGAAACTGTTCTAATGGTTAATTACTCTCACTGTTAAGAATTTAGGCCTTATTTGCAGTCTGAATTTACTGAGCTTCAACTTCCAGTCACTGGATCATGTTAGATGTTTCTCTGCTAGACTGAAGAGCCCATTATTAAAATTTTGTTCCCCATGTAGATACTCATATAGACTGTAATCAAGTTGCCCCTTAACTTTCTCTTTGTCAAATAGATTGAGCTCCGTGAGTCTATCATTATAAGGCAGCTTTTCCAATCCTTTAATCATTCTCAGGGCTCTTCTCTGAACCCTCTTGAATTAATCAACATCCTTCTTGAACTGTGGGCACCAGAGCTGGACACAGGATTCCAGGAGCAGTCACACCAGTGCCAAATACAGAGCTAAAATAACCTCTCTGCTGCAACTCAAGATTCCTGTTTATGCATCCCAGGGTCTTTTGGCCACAGCGTCACACTGGGAGCTCATGTTCAGTTGATTATCCACCACAACCCCCCCAATATTTTTTCAGAGTCACTGCTTCCCAGGATAGGAGTCTCCCATCCTGTAAGTATGGCCGACATTCTTTGTTCCGAGATGTATACATTTACAATACGGTATACATTTATATTTAACATCTAGGAACTAAAGCAGGTAGGCCGTTCTTACATATATATTGTCTGTCAATGACGCCATATCCTCCACACCAAGGCACGCTTTTCCTTACTTTCACTTTATCTTTGCCCCAGCCGAAATGATGGCGGAGGACCAGAAAGGACTTTTCCAAACCCCTTGAGTAAGGATAGGATTTGGTCAGATTCTGTGACTTTAACGGAACTCCATGACTTCTTTGGCTTCAGCCCCCACCCGAGCAGCCCCCCCCGGGTGCTGGGCTGGAGCAGCAGCGGTCAGTCCTTGCTGCAGGAGCAGCGGCAGGGCTGGAGCAGCAGCTGGCGTCCCCGTGAGAACCCCTTTCCCCGGTATTCAGTGAAAGCCGGGACAGGTCACCGACTTCCATGAATTTTTGTTTATTGCCTGCGACCTGTCCATGACTTTTACTAAAAATACCCATTACAAAATCTTAACCTTATCCCATGAGTTGCAGCCCTAAAACATGCCTGACACTTTTTCTAGGGATACCATAGCAAGAGCATTTTAAAGTCTGCTTCCTGTAAACAGTTTAATTGCTGGATGAACAGAGATTACACTTAAAGTATATCCTTTCTCCCCACCCCAAACTGGGGACACCAGACTGACCCACTTTCTAGGCAGTAAGACGATCAAGCGGTTGCAGTTATGGTCATTCATCCCCAAGAACTTGTTAAGCAGTTAGTCAAGCCTGCAACATGGAGCCTTACTCCATAGGGAGCACAATGCTCTCCGGAGTCCGCAGCTAGAGCAGGGACAATGTTCTTCCACACCATGCCCAGCTAGGATGTGCCCATTTCCCCTAAACATTCTTGGTAAGAAAAAGTCAGTGGAAGTTTTGCCATTGCCTTCAATAGGGCCAGAATTTTACCCTCTGGTGATTTAGACTTCAAGGGATTCCCAACCTCCACCAGGGCCACTGATGAAAACCCAGAGTTAGAAGCAAGCTCAGTGTAAATTTATCATATACAGCACATTCTGCCAGTGCACCTCAATCCTGACCGACACCACCAACTCAGGCTGGCATTAGCTTTATACGTGTGCTAGGCAGACAGCTGATGTGGCAACCAGCCTTCCACCTGCAGGGCATTGTTTCTGGCCGAGGACAGGAGAGATGAAATCTGAGATAAGGTTGTAGGGGTACCCACACCACCCTCCCCAGCCACCTGATTCTTCTGTCTGCAGCAATATACCACTCTCTGAATAATAAGTTAGGGCCCTGCTACCTCTGTGGTTCAATAGTGCTGCTAGCTATGGATTCTGGGACCCTTCAAAATCCCAGAGCAACCCAAGGTAATGTGAAGTGGCCCCCAGAATTCTTAAGCAACACAACTTGATTGTGAGACGGTAGCAGCACACTGGATCCTGAACAGACAGAACGGCTCTGAATTTACCATTCATGTCAGAAAAGGTTCTAACTCAGCTAATGCACCTCAGTCCTGACCCACAGCATCTGGGGCTTTTCTAGGCCACAGACCCCACACGGCTACTTTGTCCTGAAGCAATCTTCAAACTACCGCATAGAGCATTTTATTTTGGGGTAAGCAGCAACTAATTGTAATGTCGGGGGGTAGCGTGGGCCAAGGAACTGATCGTGGTACTGGGCGCCAGACACTCCACGCAGAGATTAGGACTCTCTGATCAGTTACTTATTGCGTTACCTTGGGCAAGTCACTTAGTCTGAGCCTTGGTTTTCCCATCTGTAACGTGGGTAGGATACTTACCTGAAGTTGAAGCCATTAAAAGGATAACATGCAATAACTGGTTTCAGAGTAGCAGCCGTGTTAGTCTGTATCAGCAAAAAGAACAGGAGTACTTGTGGCACCTAGAGACTAACAAATTTATTAGAGCATAAGCTTTCGTGGGCTACATATGCACATGCATCCGAAGAAGTGGGCTGTAGCCCACGAAAGCTTATGCTCTAATAAATTTGTTAGTCTCTAAGGTGCCACAAGTACTCCTGTTCTTTATGCAATAATTGTTCTCACATCTCTCACTCCCATTACGGGGGAGGAGAATTGTGGTAGTCTCAGATACCATCTGTGCACTAATTTATCTTCAGTGGCAACCATTGTCTCTCATTGTCCCTGTAATCGGGTGATTAATATCCAAAAAGGGATTCTGAACATGTAAAGCAATAGATAAGTGCCAAGTATTATTAGTATGTGGCCGAACACCTGGAAATACCATTTGACTGGAGCCAAATATTAGATACAGGAATAAGTTATAATGTGCCACATTGAAACGTTCATTTCAGCAGGATATTAACGTGGATAGCGAACTTGACAGATATTTTTCTCCAATTTAAACTTGCATTTACCGCATATTATGAGAAAAAACACTGCAGCTCTAATATCTGCTTTATGGGAATTGCAATACCAAGCCATTAGTCATAAGTGTTCTTTCCATTTTTTTCTCCAATGATATTTTGGAAATTATACCAATTCTGGCAAGAATGACTAATAAAATGACTAATTCGTTTCTAAAAACTCGAGGTGGACTTATACACTCTGGTCTTAGAGACCGGACTCTGGCGTCTCTTTTGCGGAGCGTGTTTGTTTGTTTGTATAAGAGGCACAGTTTGTTGATAGTGGCAAGTCCGTTATAGGAACTGCATTACCAACCAGACAAAGGTGAAAAGGTGTTCAGGGAAGTTCAACAACGTGATCCAGGGGCTGACTTACAAGTCCTTCCCTACAATCTGGCCTATGGCCAACCTGGAGTAATTTAAAGGAAAAATCCATTCAGGAAGGACATATGCTGAGAGCATTAGCAGGTCTGATGCCCAGGCATCAGAGACAATGTATCTGGTCATCTACAATAGACCATGTTCTGCCATATGCACATTGCTTGAAGCTTCAAAGCAGTCTTTCTTCCCTCCCTCATGGGTCATGGCACTTGATGAAATCCTGAAAATATATCAGAGACCGAAGCTTTGGAACTCAAAAAAACTTTCCCCTTGTGGGTTCGCACGCTGACCTACTTCTACTGCTCTTACAGACCAGAGGGTTGGATTGTGGGGTGTTCTGCCTGTCTCCCAGCACAGGGCACAAGACCAGTCACAAAAATCACGCCCAGGCAATACACAAGTTTCTCAAGGGAGATGATGCAAGCCCCATCCTTTGGAACTTTAGGCCTGAACACTTTGAGAACGTCCTGCAGAGGACAAGCCTGCTCTGGCAGGGAGAAGGACTGGACGATCTGATGGGGCTTCTCCATCTGATTGTATGATTCACGGGTACTATGAAAAACAGATCATAAGACCGAGGAACGAGACAAGGAGCCTCTCAAACCCGCTGCCTGCCATGTTTCATGACTTCAGTGTCCGAGAGAGAAAGGGCACTGCAATGACAGAAGCAGGAAGGTCTGGTACGAAAATCCATTAGACAAAGGGGAGCAGTGAGGGCAGTGCTGGAAGCAGACCACCTATTCCCTACGGTCACAACTATCCACTGGGCAGAGGAAAGACGCACGGCATGCCAAAGGTGCCATGGTGTGGCACCACCCCCTTCTAGCAATCCAGTGTTGGAGAAGTTATTGGGGGAGTACCAGACCTTTCTGAAATTCAGCTGACTGCCTGCTGGGGACAGAATAACCAATTTGAATAGAATTCTGTGGAGTGGGATGAGATTCCCTGAGCTCATTTCACTTGCAAACCACACCAAAAATTGTACGTGTCTTCAAGATGAAAGGCTAGTTCAGCCCTTTGTGCCCCCAAGCCCTTTTGGGCAGTCAGCGGCTTGATAGAACACACTCTCCTAGGTGGAGGACACCACAATGCATCTTCCCCTCATAAGACGCCAACATGAACCTGCAATTGGACAAATGTTGATACAGGGAGTTGCTCCTGCAGCTTAAAAGAGTTACTCATTTTTAATTCGTAGCTTTCCAGTGCAGTGTAGGATTACTACAGCACAGAGTATTCTTGCTAGTGAAATCTGCCGATTTGCCAAGGAACAAAGTGCACAGAATTCCCTCAGTTGCTAAGAATGGCAGCTTCACTTGCACTTCTCAGATCTCCAGCTGGGTTTTGATGATTGACCCATTACAGCTATTTCTTGTTTCAACAAGATCCTAGCTAGCAGACACGTGAAACACAAAATCTGAAGAGACATGACATTTGCTGTCAGCAATAAGAGACATCACATTTTGTTCTTTACAAGAGCTTAGCCATGAGAAGGGGTTATATGATGGCATGTAACTGGGCACACAAATTAGACCTCAGAAGAGTAATGTTCAGTATTAATTTAGGATCCAATTCTCTTACCCTGCACATGTCTAGTCATTTACACTAGTACACTGCCACCAAATCAAAATGGTAGCATTTTACACTTACTTAAGCCAGGTGCAGGGCAATGGAGAATCAGGTTGTTGCAGGATAGGAAGACAAACGCTTCAAGGGAGATTGCACATCCTTCAAAGGGGAGATTCTCATAGCCTTCAGATCTGTGACTTCGAACACTATTAAAGTTACAGAAGTGCCCAGAAGAACCCAACTTGTTAAGCCTCATTATTTGCACAGCTTTAGCGCCAACACCCAGATCTACGACAAGACGAAGGTGCTAGGGCAAGGAATAAAAGGCCAAACTTCTTCCTCTTTTTTTGGTTACAAGACCTTCCTATTCCTTTCTTACTCCTTCTCCCCATCAAAATTTTAGTCAGATGTTTAGGAAGAGCCATTCCAACCTGGGATGCCGAACAGACACAGGCAAGCCCCGCCGTAGAGATTATGCGGTACACTACAAAGACTTCCGGAAAGCAAATCATTTGAGATTCTCTCGAACAAATGCAGACAAAAGAAACGTTGGGTATGTCTACACATAAGAGCGCAGCAGCTGTGCCATTGTAGCACTCCAGTGTAAATGCTCAATACTGCGATGGGAGAGTGTTCTCCTCTCGCTGTAGTTAATCCACCTCCTGCAGAGGCAGTAGCTAGGTCAAGGGAAGAATTCTTCCTTTCATCAGCCTGGCCCCCTCTACATCAGGGGTTAAGTCAGAATAGCTACGTCTCTCCAGAGGTGTGGATTTTTCACACCCCGAGAGATGTAGCGATGTCGATGTAAGTTAGATCAGCCCTTAATGTCAAAACAGCCTTACAAGACTGCCATATAAATTTGCTAGCCCAGATATAAAGTCTGCTTGCCCATCCTTTATCATGACAAGGAGGACTGTAACAGACTGTGAAAAGACTGAACAGTCATCCATCAGAAGAGGGAAATAAAGGTACACACACGTAGCATGTAATGTTTGGGTGTATTGATATCCAATTGAGATTACTCTAAATCCAACAAAAAACAGGTACCACTGGTTCACACACAGCACTGTAAAAATCAATGAACTGGACAAAGACAAGCAGGCCAGTAACCTAAACTTGGTATTTTATCAGCAAGACGGGTTACATCATCTGTTATTGGCACCCAAATGTATTATTTGTTCTTCCTCAAGGCTATAAGTAGCATAATGGTGTGTGTGTGCGCGCCCCGAAGTCAGCTTGACTTAAAAAGGTACAAAGAACTCTTACATTTGGGGGGTTGGTTTTTTTTAAACGTTGGCTCTTCCTCCTCACAAAGCAACTGGAAGGAATGAGTCATATTTTGGCTGCTTTAATACAGTATCACCCAGCGATTCTGTCCTTGACTCTTCTTACCACATTGATATTTCAAAACCAAAGACCACTCCAGAGCAGTAGATGAGCAAGCCATATCAGTCAGCGCATGAAATTGCAAAACTATGGTATAGGAAGACAGGAGTATCAGATCTTTTATTACTCACATGCTCTAAAATGTACAGTTTTAAAAAAAAAAAAAAGACAGTCTTACCGGAAGCATAAAAATCAGGGTCAAAGTATGCCATGAGGAAGAAGTTGAAGACAAGCAACAGGAAGCCAGAAAATGTTATCAGATTTGGAGCCAACCAGGTAGGGAAAATCTATGGGAAAGCGGCAAAAATACACACAAAGAATCACATTAGCACACACAATAGGCACTACACATTGCTTTAACTACATCAGAGAGGAGTTTATGACTTATTGGTGTTAGATAGTGATAGAGGCTTTTGACATTTATGATTCTGCAGCATAAAATTTTAGATGGTTATGCAATCGCGCCCACAGTTATTGTCCTTCTTGAAGGACAAAGGTTGGCATGTGTCATGGAATTAAAGCAGAGTTTGTTTCAACCAAAAGGCAGTCCTGTCTAAGAGATTATGCCATGACAGAAATTGGCACTTCCACTTCCAACACAGAACCACATGACCAGCGGGAATTCTCACCTTCACGATAGTATTCCAGAACGGGTGCATAACGTAGAGAGAGAGGGGATTGCTGTCCACCGCACTGTACTGTGAAGGAGAGGAAGAGAAATATGGTTAAATGAATGCTCCAGCAGGTCTCCCTGAAAGCCAAACATACTGACTAGACACAATGCCAAATTCTCTCAAAGGGATCAAGTATCCCCTGGGTCTGGGTTTCTCAAAGTGCGGCGTGTCAGATAAGTCACAGTATGTCATACACGAGCAGGATGGCATACTTGCCTATAGAGCAGGGAAACAGTAACATTTTAAAGATAATGGGAAAATCTGAAGCGCACTCTGCCACATTTGCTGGAAACACTGCAGTCTCCATGCTCATGGAACTCCTGCCCAGAAGTTGTCCTATTTCAGGAAAAGTCTGACCATTGAATTTATATTTAAAACCTCAACTACCCCCCCCCGGCCCCTAAAGACGCCTTTGCAAAATAACTCCATGAATATAACGTGCAAAATAACACGGGACTGGACGACTAGCAGCATAGACAATAAAGAGGAAGGGATGCAGATCAGAATAAGTAAAGACGACGTCAGAGAGGTCTTCTGATTAATCTGAAAGAAACCAAGTCAGCAGGGCCTGAAGTTATCCACCCCAAGGTGCTGAAGGAATTAGCTGAAGAAATCTTGAAGCCACTGGCAGTAATATTGCAAACTCATGGATGACAGCACTAGTATTTCAGTACCGGGTAGATTGGTTCAAACTACAGTAAAGAACAGAATTATCAGACACACACATGAACATGATTTGTTGGGGAAGAGTCAACATGGTTGTTGTAAAGGGAAATCATGCCTCACCAATCTACTAGAATTCTTTGAAGGGGCCAACAAGCATGTGGACAAGGGGGATCCAGTGGATATAGTGTACTTCGATTTCCAGAAAGCCTCTGACAAGGTCCTTCACCAAAGGCTCTTAAGAAAAGTAAGCTGTCAGGGGATAAGAGGGAAGGTGTTTGCATGGGTTGGTAACTGGTTAAAAGATAGGAAACAAAAGTTAGGAATAAATGGTCAGTTTTCAGAATGGAGAGGGAGAGATAGTGGTGTCCCCCAGGGGACTGTACTGGGACCAGTCCTATTCAACATATTCATCAATGATCTGGAAAAAGGGGTAAACAGTGAGATGGCAAAATTTGCAGATGATACAAAACTACTCAAGATAGCTAAGTCCCAGGCAGACTGCGAAGAGCTACAAAAGGATCTCTTGAAACTAGGTGACTGGGCAAGAAAATTGCAGATGAAGTTCAATGATGATAAATGTAAAGTAATGCACATTGGAAAACATAATCCCAACTATACATATATAATGATGGGGTCTAAATTAGCTCTTACCACTCAAGAAAGATCTTGGAGTCATTATGGATAGTTCTCTGAAAACATCAACTCAATGTGCAGCAGCAGTCAAAAAAAGCGACCAGAGTGTTAGAAATCATTAAGAAAAGGTGTGTGTGTGTGTGTGTGTGTGTATGTATATACACACACACACACACACACACACCTACCCTT